TGCTTCCACATGAACGTTCAGACCTGACCAAAGCAGCAAATCCTTCCCACGGTCCTTACCCCATCCTAAACCTCCCCTTCACCTTTCCTGCCCATTTCTTTATCTGCAGCCAATGTCTATTCTGTTTGTTTTTTAAAAAATATTGTTTTTATTGATTTTTTTTTTTTTTAGAGAGGAAAGAGAAGAAACATGGCCCATAACCCGGACATGTGCCCTGACCGGGGATTGACCCGGGACCTCGCAGTCCATGGGGCAGCGTTCAGTCCTGAGCCACACCTGCTGGGCACCACCGGCTGGCCTTTTAAACAACTTACATCTGCCTCCCTGAGCGCAGGCTGCAGACATGCTGTCTCTCCACCCAGCGGCTGCTGCTGGTGCAGGCGTCCGGCCCCGGACCTGTCCTTTTCCTGCGGCACAGGGCTCAGTAATCCCTTCTTTCAGGAAAACTTCAGGCCTCAAAGGTTGTTACTTAGCAGGTAAGCAGGGCAAACCCAGGGATTTGGATGTGATGAAGCAGGGACATGTTGGGGTAACCACAGACCCCTTCAGACAGACAGACAGAGAGGTGCAGCCTGGCCTCCGTCCCCGCCACCTGCTATGTCTTTCTCGGTCGTTCTTGGCACCTCTGACAGGACACACTGTTGGAGTTCCTGTCTGTGTCCCTGCTGACAGGGGCTCCACCAGGGCGGGGCCTCCCCTGTGTTGGTCACAGTGGGTCCCAGCTCCTGGAAGGGGCCCGCACTCAGACTTGGTGAGTGAATGACCATCTCTGCTCCTGGGGAAGGGCCTCGGCCGCCTCTGGTCCCCAGCGGCCTCACAGCAGGTCACAGCATGTCGGGCTCAGGGTGAGGACAGGCAGGAAGGTCTGGGGTGTCACTGATCAGGGCTGCCTTGGCGAGGCCTTGGCACTCGCGACAGGCCCGAGAAACGTGTAGCAGCGTTCCCTGGAAAGAAGGTCCCCCTGTTTTCAGAAAGCCTGAGTCTGGTGAGAAATGGAACAGGGACGCCTGTCACCACACAGACTTGCTGTGGGCGGCGCACACCGTGCAGGGCACAGACCGGCTTCGCGACACTTCATGGCGGAGTCAGGCTCCTGCTGTGGCTCGGGGACTCGGCGCCACCCAAACGACGACGACACAGGAATGAACAAAACACCAGAGCCATGCACTGCGACGGGGGGATCGTGTCCTGCCGCCGCAAGCTGCTGCCCAGGCCAATCCTCGCTCCACGCTCGGGGTACCCGCTGCCTGGGGCACGGAGCCCGGCCCTGGCCTCCAGCTCGCTGTCTGCACGCCTGCGGGGCTGTCCTGGCGCCCAGCTGAGGGCGCCGGCCTGCTGCACGCCCCTCCTCCTCCTTCCATCCGTCCTGTTTCTCATAGGGTCTCTCACTGGGCTGTGAGCCCTTCAGGGCAGAAACAGCACCTGGTCACCCACACCTGCCCACAGGTGCCTGTGGGAGGGAGACGCTGCGGCCCAGCTCCGCCCGTGCTCTCGGCGGCGGTGTTCCCGAGCTGCAGGCCCACCGCTCCGCTCTGCGGGGTCCTGCGGTGCCCCAGCCGCCCCGCGTGCAGCCAGCCAGACCAATCCACGAGGTGCGGAGGTCCAGGGTTCTGCTCCCGCCCCACGTCCCCACTCCCCCAGCCTCTGCCAGCCGGGGACCGAGCACCTACAGGCCCTTCTGCTCCTCTTCAAAGAGACGGTTCCACGGTCATTTCCTCTAAGAAACTTCCTGCCCTGCCCTAGGGGCTGCGCACTGGGGCCTGTCCCCAGACCCCTCCCAGCCCTGACCGTGTTCAGCCATCTGACTCCCTCACTGGGCTGGCAGCTCCCTGAGGACAGGGACTGTTTATAATTGTGTCCTCAGTGCCCCGCCAAGAAAAGAGGCGCAATAACAGCTCCAGAAAGAACAAACTGCCAGACTGCAGCGGCCCCACTCTGCTCCTTAGACACTGAACGGTACAGCTGCATGACCCCCTAAGTTCATGCAAGTCTGCAGACACACGCATACGCGCACACATGCACACACACACACATGCAGACACACGCTCGCACACGCGCACACACACACATGCAGACACACGCTCACACACATGCAGACATGCACACACACATACACATGTGCGCGCGCACACACACATGCAGGCACACACACGCACACATGTGCACGCACATGTGCGCACACGCACACACCCCGGGCCTGGGAGGAGCTAAGAACAAAGGCATCAGCACTGCCCTCTCCCCCTCTGGGCTCAGACGCTTCTCAGAGTTTCTGAAACAGAACAGCTGGCTCGTTTAGGGGAGCCTGTGGCTGCTCCAAAGGCAGAGCGGAGGCCCTGTCACCACGGACCTGTTCATTTTTCGGCAGCCGTGAGACAGCAGAAGGCCCAGCGTTTGCTTAGGAGAAGAGGTCACTGTGGGTGGACACTCCTGGGAGGCCTTCAGGCCCGCAGCACCAGAACCCCCGGAGCTTGTGGGCAAGTAGACTCTCAGGTCCACTCAGACCTCCTGAACCGGTGTTGGCCCTTCAGCAGGTTCCAGGCGGCCGGAGGGCTGCAGAGTGAGCAGTTCTGCTCAACCACACACGCTCACTCTGCACCTGGTGGACTTTCTAGCCCCCGCTGGGGAGTCGCCGAGGTGCAGACAGCTTGGAGGAAAGAAACTTCTGTCTGATCGCTTCCCGTCGACAACAGGGAAGGCTGGCGTGTCTGTCCTGCCTCCCCCTCTGGGAAGGCCTCCCCTCTTCCCCTCCCCACCTGCACCCCAGCTCCGTGCTGGAACATGTTTAGCTGACGACACACCTCCCTGGCGGACTCAAGATTTTCCCGTCTCTGGCATTAATTTTGACAAAAGCACAAAAATGAAAGATGTCATTTCAATTTTTCTTGATTTCTGGGAATCCTAACATCTGTTTAAAGAACTCTCAACTTGATCATTGACAGAATCATGACTCCACAAGTTGGATGCGAAAATGCTTTTCTCTCTTTCCTGAGAGAATCTCTCTTCACCCTCCAGGGGTGTGCACAACTTAATTTACTCCGCACGCAGCTGGCACCGGAGCGGCGCGGCCTCACCACAGGGCCAGCCCAGCTTCCAGCTACACGGATGCTTTTACGAAGCGACGCTAAGCTTCATTATAGAAGCTGGGCAAAGTCTTACCTGGCTTTGCTAATCAAGCTATGATGATGAGCCCTCCCCTCCACTGTTCTCCAGCTGACGAGCAGAGACCATAATCCTTTCTTGATTCCTCTCAGCTCAGATACTTTTCACAGGAAGACAGGTGCTGAAATCAGGCGTTGATGTCTTTCTGTTTAACTGATCCACGTCGAGGACCTTCCATGTTTTCCCCACCTCGACCTTAAACCCACCGAGCGTGGTTCCTTCCGCATTATTTTCAGCACAGTGGTCTGGGCCTGCCTTGTGGCCCACAGTCCTGTCCTGTCCTAAGCAGTGGTCATGTGTGGGACTGATGCTTAGGACAGCCGCCAGCATGGCCCCTTGGGGGCTGTCTTCCTCTTCTTTGCCCATAAATCTCCACCAGAAAAGGGCACATAGGCTCACTGCTGGGCCTCGGTTCCAGGCGCCTCCAATCCTCGGTGTAACGAAAGGCAGACTCCTAATTACAAACTAGATTCGCTCAGGGCTACTTAACTGTAAAACACACCACGCACTGACCTGCGCTTTGCTGTGTGACCGAGAGCCGCCTCTCTCCTGCCGTTAGGACGGGCCGGGCCCTGTCGAAGTTTCTGGCCCTGGCTCCCTGCCTGCGTCTGGCTGCGGCTCCAAGGTGTTGACTTCTGGCTAAGTCAACACTGAGCCTGCCCAGGCCTGAGTCCCGGTCCCGGTCCCAGTCCTGGTCCCAGTCCTGGTCCCAGTTCTGGGCTCCTGCATGCTTTGTCTCCAAAGTCTCTCCAAGTCCTTTCACTATGGACGCGGGGGCTGGTCTGTGGCTCAGCCGAGCTGGATCCCAGCCCTTCCCTGGAAGCACTGCTCTGGTTTAACTCCCCAGCGAGCCAGTCCGATGCCCCCCAGAAATGAAACCAGGTTGGCCCCTCACACCCCAACCAGTGTCCAGCGCGTGAGGTGGATTTCCTGGGGACTCGAACTGGGCTGAGACTTCCGCAGCCAGACCGCTTCGCTCCTTGGCCTCAGTGATGTTCTTAGTTATCTCGAGGGCACTTCAGATGGGGTTGGAGTTTGAAGCAGATGGTAGGGGGACAAGGTGATTTTAGGGGTGCTTGGTGCGTGGGGTGAAGTGGGGAGGGGGCAGACGTGAAGGGGTGCTGAGCCTTCCACCGTCGAACGCTTTCCCCCTCTGGGACTGACCACAGGGACGTTTCCAGGGCCTGCCTGGCCGCCTTGGCCAGCGTGCTTCCCTGCGCGTGTTTCTTCCTGAGCAGGTCTGCCTGGGGCCAGCAGGGAGCCCTCACAGGCCACGGAGGCCTCCGCTCTGGGCTCCAGGAGGCTCTGTGACGCACGGTGAGGACCAGCTCAACACTGGCACTGAGACTCCGGAGGAGGCTGGGGAGGTGAAGGGTTGGGGCCCAGTTTCCAGCCTCTTTTCGAAGAGGGACATCGAGCCAGTGGACTCCATGTGAGAAAATAAGGCCAGCGAAGTCCAGACACTGCTTTGTTTGACGGCCCTCTGCAGGTGCAGACAGCCAAGGGGGAGGTGTCTGCGCTGGAGGGGAGCGAGGAACCAGGTCCCCAGAGAACGCCTCCTGAGCCACAGAGCTGCCCCGTCACCAGCTCCTCGGACCCCCAGCCTGAGGGGTGTGCAGGAGCCAGGAGCACCCTCGAACCCTTTCTGGGGCCACACCCTGGGAAGATGCCACCCGCTCCTGTCGCACATAAAGGCCCTCCCAGGGGAGGGCTGGGGCAGAGGAGCAGGTGTTCACACCCTGAGGGGAGGGAATGCAGGTCCTGCCCCATCAGCACATCCGGTGGCCCAACGACCCTTCAGCCTGGCCCAGCGCCGCGCCGGGGCCCCACGGGTGGCCTACCTGTACCGCTGCCTCACTGACTGCCTCTCCGTGGCCTTGCAGACGTGGCCCACGTAGTATAACGGGAAGAACAAGCAGTTCCAGGTGGTGGCGAACCAGGTCAGGGTGAAGGGTGCATCGAAGGTGCGGAAGGTCACCTTGGCGAGCTGTGTGGAGCCGGCCCAGCAGGTGCACACGCACAGCACCACCGCCAGCCCCCAGCTCAGCTTGCGCAGCCGCGGCCCCGAGCACCTGCAGCAGCGGCGGCCGGCCCGCCCGGCCTCCGCCCCCGCCGCTGCGGCCTCTGCAGGGCCCGGGCCGTCCCGGGGGCGCTCCTCCCCTGCGGAGAGAAGGCACTCAGGTTAGCAGGCTCCGCATCGCCCCACGCCGGGAACGGCACCCAACCCAAGGCCATGGCCCAGGTCAGGACCAGCCACCCTGGGGAGGGGGGAAGGGGGGAGGGTAGGGGGATGGGGGCAACTTTCTCAATCTAAACAGAGACCAGAGCACCCGCCCCAGAGCAAGGGGCAGCCACCCTGGAGGGATGGGGCGGGGCTTTGGCAGCTTCCTGACATAAAACAAGCAGAAGACAGTTTCTCTGGTTTCTCACCCTCCAGAACCTTGACTCCCAAGTGTGGCCCAAGGGCCGCAGCCCCCACACCCCGGCTTTTTGGAAATGCACAGTCTCAGCCCCACCCCACAACCTGCACTTCGACTGGGGGTCTGTGTGCTCAGCGGACTGTGGGGACACTCCAGGACACAGATGGGCTGGAGCACGTGCTGAGTCCCGGGCAGTGCTGGGAGGCCACAGCTTGACCTCTGGAAGCTCCAGGACCTGGCTGGAGCCTTCCCTGTCTGTTACTCGAAGGCACAGACGCCAAGATCCCCAGCTGATGTTGCCTGCATGACAGAAATGGGCTCTTCCCCCTGATCTCTGTTTGCTCTGCCTGGCTGCCTGCCCAGGGCCGCAGCCCCCCTCCGAGCGGCACTCAGGCCGCCGCCCGCAGGGGGCGCTGTGCGGCCTGGCCCACGGCACTCGGAGCCTGGGCTTCGGGAGCCAGCGCCCCCAGCATGCTCTGCGGCGGCCCCTTCCCACGGACCACGAGGACGTGGAAAGGTGTTCCCCACTGTGTGGTTTCGTCATGGCTGTGTGCATGTCGGTCAGCGGGGAATTCGGACAGAGCTGTGACTTGCAGCGGGAGGCACGGCGGGGGAAGCAGATTCCCAGGAGACGGCGAACGAGCCTCTCACGTCGGCCTGGTGCCCAGCGCGCGGCCCAGGGCGCTAGGCGGCCGCCTCCCCCACGGGGCGCAGGAGCGGAGCACAGGGCTCGGTGGGGTCACATGTACCGTCTGGACCTGACTTCAACTTAGTAACACTGGAGCAGCCTTCGCAACCGTGAGCGGTTCTGCACACCGTGCTTCCTGGGGCTGATGACCCCATGAGCCACATGCGACTCAGGAGCATCCGCTGCGCGGGGCTCCTCCTCGCCCTGACCTGCCAGCCCTGCTGCGTCCGCCTGAGCGCCGGCGGTCACAGCCTGACGTGGCTGCCAAGGGCAGCCGGTCCTTCCCGGCCACGTCCTGCTCGCCTGTTAATATTTAACCCCTGTTCCTGTCAGTTTCCATGTGTGGGTAGATCCCGGTCACAAAGAACCAAAGGCTTGGCCACACCCTGGGCTCCCACAGCTGTCTGTCTGCCTGCCATGGGCTCGGGCAGGGTGAAGCTGAGGACCACAGCAGCCGAGCCCCCCTCGCGCTGTACCCCGCCCTGGGATGCCCCGACTGGTCCCAGAACCCCCACAACTTAAGGCAGACTCAGCTTCGGTGCACACACGGACCCCCTGACGTTGGGGTTGCCTCTGTGACCTTCCACCACAGAGACAGTTCACGCAGGTGGGGTCAGGAAGATGGCTGGACTAGCACGTCCCTCCAGAACTCGCACTGGAAAGGTGGAGACGAGGAAAGTGTCTGTGCGGAAGTAAAATGCAGCTCACAGGCTGACTTCTCAGGTAAGCACGGACGCTGGAGGGGCTGAGCAAGTCCTGGCGACAGCACGCTCTGCACTACAACAGCTTGGGGACGCGAAGAAGGAGGTGATGACGGCACAGCTCTTACGGTGCAAGACAGCCACCCGTCGCGCAGCCCTGTCTTGCTGAAAGGCTCCTACAGGTTTGATGAGAGTCACTCTCTAATTCGCTACCCTCTCTGGATTATTTAACCAAGGGACTATTAGTAATACCCAGGCAAAATGAAGACATCGAAAACTAAAATCTACACTATTATTTAAAAATAAGACAGAACGATATTTCCCAATTGTAATGTAGTTAGCAAACATTATAAGAAAGAGAATTCCATGGTCAGACGAGTCTGGAGAACACCGGGGAGATCAGAGACCAGTTCCTTCGCTGCAGGAATGCGCAGGGAGACGACCTTGAGGACTCCCAAGGGCAGGGTGCTTCCCCTGCTCGGCAAACGTTAACACCTGTGGTCATATGGGTGTCCCTTGGAGCACATGCCGGGAAACCCTGGGGTGTACCCAGAAAGAATCCCAGACACCAAAACCCAGCTCATGGCAAACTCTCTGTTTCACTCTACTGAGCCTCTTATAACAGTCACTTATCAATTGCATTGCCTTAATCATTCCTAATACTTCTGTTAAACTCGATCTACATCATGTAAAATAAAAATATTCTTTACAAAAAATACTTTCCAAACTACTGAACAGAGTAAATAAAAATCAATGTATAGTGAGCTTAGTGCCCAGAGATACCATGTTGCCACTCTGCTGTTTTCTCATCTTTGTGTCTTCACCACACACACACGCATGCATGCATGCATAAGCACACACATGCACACATGCAAGCACACGCACCCACACGCACACAGATCGCATGTCTCCGCCAGCACTCGTTCCTCCCACGGCACGGCAGCAGGTGCGTCACCGCGGCCCCTCAGAGCATTTCCGTCACCCGGGAGCCACCAGGAGGCAGGTGCCAAGAGTGAGGAGGTCAGGGAATAACTGTGAAACATGACTACTATTCTTCAGGAACTCACAGTCTGTCTGGAAATCAGAAAACAGACCGATGAAAGAATTATAGAACAATTACGTGCAGAATGGACAGATTTGGACTGTGATGGAAATTCTGAAGACAGTGCAGCCAGCGTGGGCTGTGATGACCGTGGAGGGAGTGGAGCAGGAAGGGCCTGGAGGGACAGGAAGGCTCCGAGCAAAAGGAGGAGCCAAGTCCAGGGTCAGGAAGACATGTGGTCGGCTGGGCCATGAGGAAGACGGCGAAGCCCTTGGCTGCTGCGATGCCCGCTGGACTCTGCTCGGGCGGCACAGGGCAGGTGCCCAGCCAGGCTGGCCGAAGGGACTGCAGTGAGTTCAGATGTCAACCCTACTTTATTTGGGAGCACACGCCCCATTGTCTGTACCAAATAAATTAAAGAATACATGTAGAGTAACATACATTTGGACCAGACACATTATTCTCCACTATTTGAAATGTAGCGAATGCATGCCACAGCACACCTGTCTCAGGTCACTGGCGATGGGCCGTCCAGCCTGCGCTCAGACTCAGGGAGAAGGGGTCTAAGGTGGCCGTCCCCTTTGCACAGCCTCTCCCATCTCCAAGTGCAGGACACTCTTGTACTCCCCCTCCTCCTAGACTGCAAGTGCAGGGACCCTCTGTCTGACGTCACTCCCTCAGGACAGCAGACCTGCCTGCAAACACCGGAGCTGTGAGCCTCACTGCTTCCCGCCCCAGCCTCCGACCATCACTGCACCATGAGAAGCACTGTCACCCTCACTCCCAACACCCTCCCCGCTCACAGCCTCTCGATTCATGACCCTGTACCTTCTCTTCTAAGCTGGCAGTTCAGCCAACAGTTCTGGGAGCCATAAAAGCCGATGAAGCCCTGGCATAACGGCCAAGCCCACAGGTGCTGCGACAGCCGAGCACCCCCTTCGGCTGCAGCGCCTTCACATGCTCTGTTTACGCCACTTACTCATTCGGAAGCGTGGGGACAGGCGGGCTCCTCCTGCTCTGCTGCCTGAGCTGCTTCCACTGAGCATTCTGGAGACGTGCGTGTGCGTGTGTGTGTGCGTGTGGAGCATCCTCCCGTGCTCCGTGCACACTCCGAGGCACGGTGAGATGGAACCACACCTGTGCCTGAGCTCCCATCCCGAGCTCTGTCTCTGAGGCAGGCAATTCCTGAAGCCACGCGTCAGCCCCTCCACCTGCATGATCACACGCGAGGCCTGTCTCCAGCCAGGGATTTGGAAAGCAGTCACCCTCCTGGCCAAGCTGAGGCAGTGCCTGTGGGGTGTCTGCCCAGAAGGAACCTCCAGCCCGTAATCGTTGAGCTAGAGGTTTGGTTTAGCTGCCAAGCCCTCTGGGACCACAGCAAGTCCTTCGTCTCATGGGCTGTCCACTGTTTCCCCTGAGAAGATGATGAACTGGGTGCTTTTTATGTTGATTTTGTGAAAGTCATTTATATGAGAAAGCAAGAGAAATTGGAAAATCATTTACTTTCAACTTCAAGTTCCCATTAAATGGCTCTTTCAAACGTTCAAGAGAACACGAGTGTTTTTTTCTGGAGGTCACCTAAGAGGAAGCTGACCCTCGTTGCCTATGACACAGTCTGGAAGGCTTTCACTCAGAGAGCACCTCAGGGGGACGGGACCCCGAGCTGGGGTCAGAGACCCCCATGGGCTGGCCTGGGCCACCCCCGAAGCACAGAGCACAGAGACACCTCCCAGCGACATCTCCATCGATACGATCTATACATTTATTTTAATAACCTTTTTGAGGCATGATTTTAATAACCATAAAACTCACTTGTTTAAAGAGCACAATTCATAATTTTTAGTAAATTTACAAAATTGTGAAGCCATCACCTCTCTGCAGTCTGTGAACATTTCCATCACATCACGAGTCTCCGAGCCAATCTGCAGCTGTTCCCATCCACCCCCCGAGTCAGGACCCCCCCCATCAGGACACCCCCACCACCCCATCAGGACTCCACAGATCCGCTCCCTAGCTCAGCCGGCTCTTCTGGGCGCTGCACAAAACACGCAGCCCTTCCGTCTGCCTGCCTTCACTTACATCGTGGGCCCGCCCCGCTGTGCTGCTGTCTGGGGGCCTCCTCCCGCCCGGACAGCAGACTCTCTCGGTGTGTCCACCTGCTCGGCAGCTGACGGACGTGCATGTTCCAGTCCCGGCGACTGTGAGCAGTGCTGCTCGAACGCTCGCATGTACGCCTGTGTGTGACTCACATGCTTTCGTTTCTCTCAGACGGACTAGTTAAGGTTTTCGGCCACTCGTCCAGCAACTGT